GTAGTCCACGAAAGCTTATGCTCTAATAAATTTGTTAGTCTCTAAGGTGCCACAAGTACTCCTGTTCTTCTGTTTTCAGTGGCTTTTACCTTTTTACCAGACTATTGGACTGAATTTTTCCATACCTGTGTCTGCCTCAGGCTAAATGTGTTAGACACAAGGGTGCAGCCATTTCCAAGGATAAAGCTAGGGGGAAGTACTTCGTTTTGCAATGTTAAAAAAAAAAAATCTGCAACCTTTACTTTGGAGTGGGGACTCGAAATTTGTCAGGGGCGAGGCCTTTGTTTCAGAGATTTGTCTGTTTCTGTTTCCCTGGAAATCTGTCCGAATTTGGTCAAGTTTAAGTATTCAAAAAACTCTCAGTTCAGACATGCCCAGTAGAGACTTGTTAGGGTATGTTTAATCACTTGAGCTGGAGGTATAGCTCAGATAGAAGTATGCACGCTAGCTTTTCTCGAGCTAGTGCGCTAAAAATAGAAGTGTAGCCATATTGGCACAGGTGGGGGGGATAGACTAGCCACCCAAGTAAGCACCTAGGATCCAAGTCAGATTGTACTCAGTGAAGCTAACCCCTCCTGCTGCCTATGCTGGCTCCACTTCTGCACTTGGTCAAAGCTAATGCACTCATGACTACCCAAGGTATAAATTACATCTCCAGCAGAAGTATAGACATACCCAGCTAAAAATCTCTGAAGATTCCATCCTCCCTGAGCATGCTCCCTCCCCATACAGCTCCTAGGCTCATCAGACTGCACATGTACCATTCCCACAAAGCAACTGAGCAGGATCCAACCCGGGGCTTAGAAAAACTTTCCCTTGAATTACTACTCCCCAGCCAGGATGGGGTTGGGCATCAGAACTGACAGCAGAAAGCCTGTCTCTCCTGTGCTCTCGATGACACCCCTGCTGGAGCCCAGGCAGTGTGGAGGAGGAAGGCGCCTCACTCAAATGCAGAGGAGGCAGGAGCTAGACTGAGGGAAGGGGAGGCATAGATTGGGGCAAGGAGGCTGGTGAGACTGGGACTGTGGGGAAAGAGAGAGAAACCGTGACTTGAAGTTTGGGGGAGACTGGGACTGATTGGGCAAGGAAACTGGGACTGGGAACGAGTGGAGGTGAGTAGACACATCTGACCAGGAGCTAAGATGAGGGGGACAACAGGGACTGGCTGGATAAAGACCGGGGAGTGGGGAGGGGAAATTAAGACTGGGAGCCAGTGGGGATTGGACAAGGAGTTGGGGTGGGGAGGAACTTAGACTGGCTGGGCAAGGAAACTGGGAGTGGGGAAGGAAAGATACTGGAAGGGTAGGAAGACTGGGACTTGAATGGGGACCTTAGAAGGGAAGACTGGGTCTGAGGTGAGACTGGGTAGGCAAGGAGAATGGGCCTGGGCCTGGGACGAGGAGCCAAGGGGTGGGAAGAGACAAGACTGGGACAGAGACGGGTTAGAGGGGATGGGAAAGAAGGAGTCAAGCTTAGAGGAACTGACAGAAGGGTCTGTGATGCCTACTGGAACACACTCTCCTCCTGGTATGGCACCCAAGATTCCTGAGTCTCACTATTCTTTCTGCTGTCATCAAATCTGTGATATGCACTGGCAAAGTGTGTGTCTCACACTGCTGTCAGAAACGCTGTTAGCGCAATTGGCAGACATCTGTGCTGTGGATCTAAAGGTTCCAACCCTGCTGATGGTCCATGTGGGCATATGGATGCCACATGCTGCAATTTCTGGGTGGGGGGGGGGTTCAGTTTGCTCTTTTAAAAACCTAGGAATTAAGAAACAAAACACTATGTTAAAAGAACATTAAGGTTGCAAAGTCAAGCACTCAAAAGCTAGGAAATTCCATACTGAGGACCCTTGCCTTATTTGTTGCAGAACTTGGAAGTTGTGTAGTGCATGAGGCAAGGGACTGCATGAAGAGGAAGGACAGTCTCATGGTTAGGGCAGTTGAATGCTGCCCTGGAGAACTGGATTCTATCCCTGCCCTGCCAAACTACGTGATGCTGGGCAAGTCACTTAACCAAACTTTTCACAGGAGGTCACTATTTGTATTTTCATCATGTTCTGGGGGCTCAACTTGAGACCCTGGAGTCTGACATGCACAAGTCACTGAGCACTCACAGCTGCAACTGAAGTCAATAGGATCTGTGCTTTGAAAAGATACAATGTTATATAATACTAAGTGCTCTGAAAATTCATGCCACAATTAGTAGATACTTTTGACATTAATTTCTCTGGACATCAGTTCCCCATCTGTAAAATGGGGATAATACCACCCTTCAACAGGGGTTTTGTGAACCTAAATTAATTAATGTTTGTGAAGCCCTCAGATACTATCCAGATGAGTACCGTAGGAAAGTCAGTGAGGAAATGAATAATTCTGAATTTAGAGCAAGGTTTGACTAGTGTGCAGTAAATAAGGAATGAGGCCACACAGTGAACAATGAGGAGAAAACAAAATATTGAATAGCTGCTCATTCAGTGAGCACCATTCATCCTGTGCACTGAATGAGACAGGGTCCTCTGGAAAAAAAATAGTGTGATAATATAATAAAGACTGTATTATCATGCATATGTATAAAGGGGCTGAATGAAGGTTGCAGAGGCAACATTAATTCTATAATGACTCTCCTTGAGGTCTGTGGTACAAACAGCTGTCTTGAGGATTCTATACACTATGCATTTTGGAGATGAAAAAGACTCCTTAGATCAAATAGTCCAACTGCTGCCAACATAGGATTGTTCTAAAGGACATTTCCAAGTGTTGCTTAACCTGAATAACGCCAGAGATGGGAATATTTACACTTCCCTTCCAGTATTATTTAATGGCCGAATTAACCTTATTGTTAGAAAATGTTTTCTGGTGTCCAGCCTAATTATTTGCTTGCATCCCACTTTTCCATTAGCCACTCTAAATAATTCTTTCCCCCACAATCAGAGCATTTTAAAAGTTAGGGATGGCCTATTTGGCCATCTAGCCAGGGCTGGCTCCAGGCACCAGCTCACCAAGCTTGTGCTTGGGGCGGCACCTGTACGGGGGCGGCATGGCGCTCCAGCTCCAGCCGCCGGGGAGAGCGGAGCCGCGACTGGGCTCGCCGCCAGGGAGAGCGGAGCCCCGGCCGGGCTCTCTGCCATCCTCCCAGGGCTCTGGCTGCCAGCGGAGCCGCGGTGGGCTCGGCGCCCTCCCCTGCCGCGCTCCGGAGTGGGGAGGGGGCACGGCAGGAGGCTTTTTTGCCTGGGGCGGCAAAAAAGCCAGAGCCAGCCCTGCATCGAGCCCATATTGCTACCAAAGGATTGGTCAGTACTGACATGGTTTCTGCTGTGTTGGGAAGACTAGCTTTGAATGTCTGAATATATCCAGGCTTCCACTAGTATCTTAATCATCTTTATCACCTTTTTCTGGACCCCCTCCAATGTAATTATGCCTTCATTGAACTGGGGCACCCACCACAGCATGCAGTGTAGCTAATGTATTTAATTCAATGCTGCAGGAAGATAGGCTAACCTATGTACTTGTGCTTGTGCTTCATATAATGCAGGATATATTGATCAGCATATCACGTTGTAAAATCGTATACATACATAGCTATCCAATTATATCTTAGCATCTGTGGTGAGCATCTCCTCCCATTTATCTCTGTCCGTGTCATATGCCCGTGTTTTAGATGATATTTCCCCCAGTTATGTTGATTTTGCATTTTTGAGATAAAATTTCATTTTTTGATTCCTTCCAGTTTCTCTGATCTGGCAAGAAATATCTTAACTCTTCTCTCCTTCCCTTGGAAAGCGTGGAAGACTTAAGACCTTACATAGGATTGCAGGGCTCTTCTATTGAGTCAGATGCTAAAGCCCTGAATTAAGCGTCCGAGTAATTACTCCACCCAGGAAGGAGGTGAAGTTTGGACATTTCTCAGCGAGTGTAAATCAGCATAACTTTACTGGCTTCAGTTGTGTTTTATACCAGCTGAGCACCTGGCTCAGAGACTTCCCTATGAAACCTGGGGAAGCTTTGGAAGAAGCTGGAGGTGGCCTTTTCTTTCACCGTAATTTCATGTATAAAGCTGAGGGTACTGTATGGACGCTGTTTGTATTATGCAAACCTCCCAAATACCCAATAAAACTAAAGAGTGTTAGCGGTAAGAAAACAAAACTTGTACCATCGCTGAAAAGCAAAGGGCCCAACAGTTAGAACTTGCAAATCCACCTGGGAAAATAGATGTTTTCAGATGATGACGGTGAATGGGATGCGCTGAGGCAGATGTTTCAGATGGGATGAGTAAATACCTCCTAGGGGGCAACCCAGTATGGGGGGGAGTGGTGGCCCCCTAGTGGCAGAGACCATGATTTTCAGAAATGACTCATGATTTTGGGTGACACCTTGATGATTTTCAACAAGGGCTGAACACCCGACCCCCCCAAGTTAGGCACCCCCAAATCACAAATCCCTTTTCAAACTCTTAGCTGGAGTTACTAGCCACAGGAAAACCATTTTCAACATTTGAAAGCTTACTGTGGTACTGAGTGCATATTTAATAGTCTCTTTATGCCCTCCACAACTAACCAACCATTGTTAAAATGTCCTTCAATTTAACCTTTCTTATCTGGTTCCACATTCTTCATCCTATTATGTATTTTGTAAACCTGAACAATATCTTCATGGATTCTTCTCTGCTCTATGAAAAATACATTTAGTTCCATAAAGCCTTTCATAGTAGCACAAAGTATTTCCATTAAAACTTGAAATAGATCGGCAGAAAACTTTTGACTCTGCCTTTCAGTATTGGAGGTTTTTTCCAGAGGAATGGGGGTACTTTGGGTCTAATTTTCTCCAGGTTGTTGGGTTTAGTGGGAGTAAATTATACTGTCCGATTACAAAGCCCAGAGTAAGCATAGGAAGAAATGTTTGTCTTTCTAGATAATACTTTAAATAATAGGCCCTGATTCAGGAAAGCTCCCATATTCAGGACAGCTTAACTTTAAGCAGATATTTAAGTCCCATTGATGTCAAAGTGCTGTCCTGAATAGGTATGTACATAAATACTTTTCTGAACTAGGCCATTAATAATAGTCCAACACCACAAAAATTCAAATCCAGCTTTATCCCCTATTCCTTCAAAGTTCATTTCATGCTCAGATCCAGGGTTTTGGTTCCATCTAGAAATTGGAGCTAGCAGTAAAATCTGGTATCCTCAAAAGATGGGTGTTTCAATTAGGGCTCCTCTTTAGACCTGGTCCTATGAGGTTCAGAGCACCCTGGACTTGCACTGAGTTCTGCACGTGCTCAGACACACTTGGATCAACTCAGCACCTCATGGGGACACAGGAATAGAGATGACCCCAAACCAAAATCTTGCCTGATATTTGAGGATGCCACGTTTTGCGGCTGGTCCCCAAGAAGACTTAAGAGGACTTGAAAGGTGATCAGCATCTTGCAGGCCTGGGCCCTCTAATACTAACTGTTGAATTTATATGAAACACCTCCTTTCAAAGTTCAGCCAGTTTTATATTTCAAAATAAAACCCTGCATTTTACTATAAACACAGCCCAGTACAACTCCTAAATGGCTTTGACGCCACTCTATGGACAGTCATTCCCTTCCCTGTGCCAAACACTTTAAAGTATTCTCTCTCTTTCTAAATACTTTCTTTTAAGCTTCAGACAATATTAATCCAGAAAGGACAGAGACAATGCAATCCCCAAAACTATTAATTTTTTATAATTGTAAATTTATATTTTCAATTTTGCATATCCATGGAAGTCTCTCCCTACAGCATTGTTAGAAATTATTTTTTAAAAGCCTTTGCTTAAAAAAAAATATGAAAGATTAAGCTTTCATTTTAGGGGAAAAAAATCCCCTCAGGCAATAAATAGGTTCTTTTGTCTAGTGGCCTTGGGAAAAAAATTAAAATAGTTTTAATTGCCTATGATTATAGAGTGGGGTTTTTTTTGTTTTTTGTTGGGGTTTTTTTGTTGTTTTTTGCAATTATTAGATGGTAGTGGATAAAAATGAAAGAATAAAAACCAGGTAAATGCATATTACTCTTCCATGAATTTCTCACGGGTCTTTAGAAGCCTCATTTAATTATCGTTCTTGTCTTTTATTTTGATATGATAATTGTTTCTTTTATTTACTTTAATCACCCCTATTTAGTTAATGAATTCTTCACTCTTTTTTCCCCCCACTTGTTTGGAACACTTTTCTTTTTTAAATGATTGGAACTCTGTATCAGTGTAGGGTTACCATACGTCTGTTTTTTCCCGGACATGTCCGGCTTTTTGGTAATCAAACCCCCGTCCGGGGGGAATTGCCAAAAAGCTGAACATGTCCGGGAAAAATAGCGGCCGGGCACTTCCCCTCCCGGGCTCCAGCTGCTCTGCTCCGGCGGCGCAGGGTCCGGAGGCAAGGGGGCTGCCCAAAGCCAGAGCGCTACCGGCTTCACGGTTTGCCGGGCAGCCTGCAGACCCTGCACCCCCGGCTGGGCGCTTCCCCTCCCGGGCTCCAGCTGTGCTGGGGAAGCGCCGTCCGGTGGCGCGGGGTCTGGGGGCTGCCCAGCAAACCGTGAAGCCGGTAGCGCTCGGGCTTCGGACAGTCCCCATGCTTCCGGACCCTGCGCCCCTGGCCTGGGCGCTTCCCCTCCCGGGCTCCAGCTGCGCTGGGGAAGCGCAGGCTGGGGGCGCGGGGTCTGGGGGCTGCCCGGCAAACCATGAAGCCGGTAGCGCTGGGGCAGCCCTTTTCACGTGGCTGGAGGAAGGAGGGGGAGTTAGGGCTGGGACTTTGGGGAATGGGCGGAGTTGGGGTGGGGAAGGGGCAGAGTTGGGGCAGGGCCGGGGCTGGGAAAGGGGCGGGGCCAGGGCCCCGTGGAGTGTCCTCTTTTTTTATTTTTTAAATATGGTAACCCTATATCAGTGTAGAGAGGCAATATTTTATAATGGTTAAAACTTGGGACTAGAAATCAGGAATCCTGGATTCTCTTCCAGACTGTGGCTAGATCTTATAAATAGATGCA